GCTTTTCCAGCTCGGCCTCCTTCAGAGCTCTCTATGCTTTTTTGGCAGCCTTTCTTTCAGCCGCTCTCTTGGCTTTGGCCGAATCTCTCTCAGCCTTTTTCTGCGCTGCCTTATCAGCCCTCGCAGCTTCATCTTCAGTGCGATCCCCTGTCGCAGGATTTTCCGCCTCTCAAATACTAGGAGATCCAAAGGCAGATTCAAGGTCGGCGGAGAGATCCTTAAATGATAAAGATTTCATTTTTTCTTGCATGCCTGTGACGACGAAGGAGAGCAGCTGAAAAATAAAAGATGTTAGCCGACTTGATGCTCTAGCTCCAAATTAAAACCAGGTGCAAAACTAGCAAAAATGGGATTCGTACCTTTCGTTATTTCGATCCTCTCTTTTGTAATCTCCGGCCAAGTGATTGCACTGATTGCCGCGAAGCGCTCCGAGATCTCGTATATATCAAGCGGGTCATCGACGATCGGAAGGTGTTTGTTGCCTGCAACAACAAAAATGAAAGATCAACTAAACAATTATTCGAAAAAGTTTATTTAGCTTTTCAGGTCGGGCATATCTCTACCCATGACCTCCGTCCATTTCGTTCGAATTGGGATATCTTGGTCGACGACAGAGAACTCATTGATCCGCACGAAGAAGTAACAATCTCTCCAGTCCGGCACTTTCGACTTCTGACCACCGGTTACGATATTAAACCGAGTCTTCATACTCGTGTAGTACGAACCGTGATTTCTCAGATTTGCCTTGGTTCTCCTTGTATTTGTCATTGCGTCGAACGCAGCTCGGCTCAAAGGGATATCGTGCCTGATCGACATCACCAGGATACTAACGATCAGACAAATTGTCCCGTGGATGAATTGGCTGATCATCATCTCTTTGTGATCGGCAAATTCGAGCAGCAACTTCGGGAGCGGAAACCAAAGGTGGAAATCCCTGAGAATGCACTCGTACAGACATAGCCACCCCCTGGGAGCATCCCACGGTCGTTCTGATGGGCTCGGGACCATGAAAATCATCTCCAGGCCGATATCACACTCCTCTTTTAGTGTCACCAGGAACTTCATGGTCAACTTGGTCGGCATCACCCCCAAGGCGTTATCACAGGTCGGCCTAATCACCTTCTCCCCTTTTCGTTTCTTGGTCTTCTTCACAGGAGGATTCATGTTGATTATACCGAACTGGTTGACTTCTTCTTCCGCGATGATGGCATTCAGCTCATCCGAGATATCCATCTCGTTAGATCCACCTCTCTCGTCGGCTTCATCTCGTAGCTCGGAAATCTCGAATTCAACCCTAGACAATGTCTCCCCGGATCTTTGGACGGCTCCTACCTGTTGATTCTTTTCTCGAACGCGTTCCTGAAACGCCCGATCAAGCGCAGAAAGCTCGCTTGCGTCTGAAAAACGGTCTGATCCCGAATCATTAACGACAACTTGCTTCCCTTTCGATCGATCCCGCACCTCCTGGTCGGCTCGATACATCTCTAAAAATTCCTCCAAGGAAACGCCGATCTCATTGGCTTTTTCTTGGGCCGACCTGTTCTTCCCTAATTCAGATCGGTTTTCCCTGATCTTCACGCTTTTGCTTATTTTCTGATCGGACTTTGATGGCGAACCGTGGAAATTGGCGGCAGAGGTCGAACGAAATGAGACGGAGGTCTAGTCGGCAAATTCTAAACAAAATAAAGAACAGAGAAGAGAGAAGAAAGCAAACCTGAAATTTGACAGAGTTTCGCTAAAAATTGCATAAGTGAAGAAATGAAGGTCGAGGCCCTCTTAATTATACCAAAGTCGAGAGTCATCATGAGTTCGGCGATCTTTCAGATTTTCTTCTCATTTTATTTTAGGTCGGCCTCTTTGCCATCTCCTCCTAGCATTTGACACGTGTCAAACCTAGTTCTGTATCCGCAGACCTAGGCCTACTCTACAAAGTTTTGGCGGGAACTTTTCGTGCCAGTTTCACAATCCGACCCTCGTCATCGCACCGATCAGGCCCATCTTACAAGGATTAGGTCGGCATAATAAATGGAAATCTTCCATTTATCCATCAAACCTGGAAAAAAGGAAAGTTAGGTCTTATCGGCAAAAGGACTTTCCTTTTCTAAACATACATAGAAGACCGACCTGATCAGCTATGAATATGGAAAGTCCTCGACTTCTCAGATGATCCAAAAATTACTTCTCGAGACCTAAAGCAATTTAAGCAATCCAAATGTTCTTAGCTCTCGATATACCTTCCTCTAAAAGCTTAGGTCGGCGTTTTTATTCCGACGACCTAACATCCGTGTATTCTATCAAGCTCCGGCTATTCTTAATAAAAAGATCTCTCTTTAAACCCACAAACCCTAGTTCTTTATAGATCGAACTTGAGTTTTTACATGAACATAGGAGCATCTCTGTTGGTTACAGACAATGAAACGTATCTCACAAATATTGTATTATATATATTATAATTAAATTTTAAATATAAAAGAAATATATCATTCATACATACAGTTTTATGTATCTTTTAACTTCGAATAGTGACAGTGTATTATGCACTTAAACTGCGGATTTAAAAAGTGGTGCGGCTAAACTGCGGGATATGCATTATGCGGAACTAGTGCGGTTAATGTAAAAAGGGCGGTGCAAAATAATCTTTTTGATTGGTGAAAATATTAACAAGCGATGCAAAATTTATAAAGTAAGTAAATATAAAGATAAAAATAATATTATTATCATTATAAATTTAATTTTTCTTTTTAGTGATACATTTTTTTATGAATCTTAAATATTATAATCTATTTAAATTAAAAACTTTTAATATATATTAATTAATCTTAACTATTATTTGAGAAGCATGTTTAATGAAAAATATGATGTGTCAACACCTTAGTAAAAGTTAGTGCAAAACAATGCCACCTCATAAATGTGACATGGCAAATTTCCTAAAATAAACGAAATATTTTGATTGGTTAAATTAAAACTAAATAAGTCTTATTTTTAAATTAGAAAAGTTTATATCATATATAAATAAATTCTTATTATATAGCAAAAATTTAAAATTATAAATGACACAAAAAATAAACAGATAGAAAATAAATTATAAGTATCCTGTTAGCTAACTTTTTTTATTATAATACTGTATATATGAATAAAAAGTAGATTTAAAAGTAAAAATTAATCTTTATGATTTTTGTTTTATGTAAAAATTTCAGGCTATATTTTTGTTTTAAAACATCTTCAATCCACTTTTATTTTAATTTAGAAGAAAAATTATAAAAATACATTGGAGATGATCTAATGTTTAATATATTATTAAATGTTAAGAAAAACAAATGAGTCAAAGAAGACAAAAAAAAAATAAGAAATTTTTTTATTGATGTTAAGTTTATATTTTAAATACATAAAAATATTATCTTACACATATTAATTTTTAATGCATATATTTTTTTAATATATTAAAACATTATTTCATGAATCAAGTTTTGTATATGTTATGATCCATTATATTTTATATTAACAAATATATTAAAGTTAAGATCAAATCAATTCTGAATTTTTAATAACAATCAAATATTAAATATATTATTTTACACCTTAAATCATACTTATATAAGTTTAGATCTGATTGGTTTAAACGATCCAGTTACAGAGAGTTTGTGGAAGCAAGCGATTGCGGATAATAAAAAAATTGACGAGGAGATGAGCGGAAAGCTACCGGAGAATTTTATAAAATATAATTTCACAAATTTTATGATAATTGTTTTTGAGGAACCATATATCATCAGACGCTGAAAAATAAAAACCTTTGATTAAATACAAATGATAGAAACGGTTTTCGTGATTGTTGTTAAACACCAATAACTGCATCGTGTAAAAACATAATGTTTGCGGAAAATATCAGAAAAAACTTACCAACGCCTAAATATTACAATTCACTTATTTCTAACTCATACTACATGCATAAATATACTTATTATTTTTTTTAAAAAAAAATCAACAATAAATTATAAAAATATATATTACAAAACATATAGTGTGTTATTTTCTTTTAACACATAAAGGCCATATTTCATTTTTTTTACAAATATGCGTGTAGATATAAATATTAATTGTGCAAAAGTAAAACTCGAATGCAAACTTGTCATGCATACATATGTTTAACCTCGATTATACTCTAATTTTAATTTTAGTTGTTAGACAATTTATATGTTTTAAAAAATATTTATTTGTGCGTATCAACCACCTCACCGCTCTTAGGATATAAAAATATGGTAGAATTTATTTTGGTTTAATTAGCAATATGCCAAGGAAAAATGTATACTTAAAATATATATATTGGCAAGATTATATTATGTAAAGAAAAAAAGAAAGTATTATATAGATAATTTTAAAAAATATTATAAGAACTTAATTATTATATAATATAAATTTGCATTTGCAATTATATGTTACTGTAAACGCTAGGAAAAATAAAAAGTTTTCAAGAAACATAAAACGATATGAAACGTTTGTGTGATTGTTGTTGAACGCTAAAATTGTATATGTATAAAAACTTAACATTTACATAATGTATAAGAAAATTAATCAATACTTAAATATTACAACTAATTATGTTTATAAAAAAATTATACTTGCACATGTGTATACAGACCAAAAATAAAAAATAAATAAATTATTATATATTTGAATGTTATCCCGTTTATTTAGTTATCATATTTATATTTTTTATCCAAACAAATATTTTTTATATTTACTTTTGAAATATATAATATTTTATATTTAATTTATCGTTATTTTTTATTATCAAATATTTATTATTTTATTATTGATGTATAATTAATTATATATAAATAAAATATCTTCAATACTATTTTAATCATAATTAAACATATAATTTTTTTATAGCCTGCACACAGTGCAGGCCGATCACCTAGTATTACATAAACAGTGTTAAATGATTAAAAAATACAAATACAATACTAAAAAAATTACAAAAATTATCGAGTAGTTTGATTTTACCACAACATATCTGCAATATTGTCTCTTATCTGCGCCATATGTTCTCTATCTGCAACCGCTAGCTGTGTCTGTGTCACCTGTGTCAGGTTCTGAATCTCTGTTGTTTATTCATGTCTCTGTCATTACATATACAAAATCAGCATCTGAAAAATTGGAAATTTTGATATAGTTATGTAATCCCATTGTAGCCATTACCACTCTTTTTTGAACGTTTACACCATATCTTGGAAAATCCGAAAGAATCTTTCATTTTTTTTCTAAACTCCAAAACTCCTCTCGACTACTGATCACAATGACGCATGATATTGATTAAATAGCTCCTGTTTATTCCTAGGAGCAGGATCAAAGTTGAACTAAGACATATGATATCTCACAACTCCATTTCGTGACGATCTGTACAGAGCTAAAAATCCTTGTTTGTTTGGATAACCAGAATCAACGAGATAATATTTCTCTAATGGAGGCAAAAGGAAGTCAGGGTCGCTTTGTCATGCCATTGCCAGAACAGCAGTATCATGGCATGATCCCGATGCTCCATTCCAAATATATGTGAATAACATATTCATATCACATATTGCCATGATGTTTAAAGATGCATGATCATGTCGATTCCAATACATTTCTTGTAACTCAGGCTTCACTTTTACACATACATGTGCCCCATCCATGGCTCCAACGAATCCACTAAAAAATGGATAATATGTTGATAACTAAATTTCTTTGCAAGGGTGAGGATGCAATGAGGCTATCAAACTCAAATGCAACATTTAGGTTGTAGTACAATATGCAAGTGAGAGTCAATCCATTTCTAGGAGCTAGGAAGGTCAAAGAGAATGCAAGAGCAGTGTAAAGCTAAGCGAATAACAGGCGGTTTTGTAAAAATCCTAAAAACTATATGCAGCAACCAAATAAAATGCAAAACTATTTTAAAAATACCAGGAATGATTAAACTACCACGGAGAACAAACAGAATAATTAAAATGCAAGGCTATGATTTAACAAAAATTGACTAGTGGATCGACCACAGGATCGACCACTTGATCGAGCAGTTTGGATCGATCTCGTCTAAAAATGCTAGCATGAAGAAACTAATGACCAGGATGCAGCAAATATCAAGCGAATGACTAACGAAGATGTAAGAATGCTAAGAGAGAAGGGTCTAGGGTTGAGATTCATGGTCCGGGGTTTCAAAGGTCCAAGTTGGGGTTGAAAACTTTAAATCGACTCACTTTGTGAGATTCCCTAAGCCTTGAAAACGAAAACAAGATCCATTCATGGCTGTTGTTGTTGTTTTCCTCCTTGGAGTCCTCCTTAGAACCCGAGGCATGGCCCTTAAGACTGCTTTCCTCAACCGCTATCCCTTCTAAAATCGAGTCGTCCAGTCGATCTTGCTCTCGATGTCGTCTAGATCGAGTGGTTTCGCTCGATTCACTTACTCGATTTAATGTGGATCGAGTAAGGGATCGAGACGCTGAGTCGATCTCTGGATTAGACCTCAAACTGATCGGGAGGTCTTTCTCGATCTTTGACTCGATTGTTTTCCCGGATTGATCACCCCTCTCGATCTGACTGTCGATTGCTGCACCAGATCGAGTTGTGTTCTCGATTGCCTTGTCGATCTGACATCTGGATCGAGTGATAGCGTCGATTTCAGAGTCGATCTCTAGGCAGCAGTTCATCCTTCTTAGCAACCTTCCTAGAATCCAGCAAGTTGACGAACTTCTGGGTCCTCTGATCCACATAGCCAAACTCTCCTGGCTCCTTTGTCAGTGCCAGCTTCAGATGGTCCTCCTGAGCAAGTTCTTCCAGCAACTCATCCACTAAGGCATCCATCGTTTCAATGTGGAAAGCTTGCCCTTCTATAGTCGGCTTCTTCAGAACCTCATTGATATCGAAGTCCAGCCTTATATCCTTTACCAAGTACAAGGCAATCTTCCCGTTCTTGACGTCAATGATAGCCCCGGCGGTTGCAAGGAATGGCCTTCCAAGGATGAGTGGGTCCTTAGGCTCTTCATCCATTTCCAACACGACGAAGTCCGTAGGCACGTTCACACCGCTGATTCGCACCGGTAGATCTTCAAGCAGCCCCACTGGTAGCCTCACACTCCTATCAGCCAGTACCAACGAGATTCTACAGTCTTTGAAATGGGTAAAGCCGAGCTTCTTTGCCACGGAATGAGGCATCAGATTTATGCTAGCTCCGAGATCACAAAGGCAGCTCTTGAACTCCAAAGGACCTAAAGCGTAAGGTATAGTGAAGCTTCCAGGGTCTCCCAACTTCTTAGGGACTATCTCCTTATGTATCATAGCACTACACTCCTCACTTAGAACAAGCATCTCCTTGCTTTCCTTATTCTTCTTCACGAGAGTGTCTTTGAAGAATTTGGCGCATTTAGGCATCATTGCAAGGCAGTCAACAAGAGGTAGCTTGATCTCTACGTCCTTAAGATGTTTCTCAAAGAGGATTCTATGCTTCTCTATGAGTTGCTTCTTGAAACGGCCAGGAAAAGGCAGCTTAGGTACATACAGTGGAGGTACATAAGCATCCTTCTCCTTAGTAGTTTGTTCCGCTTTCTTCTCAGCAACTGCTTTGTCTCCTCTTCTTGGCCCTTGAATCCAGACATTGTCAAAGTTGATCTCATCATCAGCGGAAAGCTTACCCTCCCCCTCTTGAATTACAACGTCCTCGTTGTTCTTAGGAGTAACCAGAGGTGCTGGCTCTTTGCCGCTTCTTAACGTGATGGCGTTGGCATATTCCTTAGGATTCTGCTCACACTTGCCCGGTAGGCTATTCTGACCACTTGTACTCGCTTTCTCCTTCTCTAGCTGCTTGATCTTGTTGTTTAAGTTGGTGATCTGAGTGGAGAAGTCAGTGAGAGACGAGTCTAGACGAGTGTTCATCTCGGCGAACTTCTGGTTTGTAGAGGCTTGCCCTTGTATCAGCTGTTGAAACATGGCCTGAACCGGATCAACTTGTTGTTGCATCGGCTGTTGCTGCTGAGGTGCAAAGCCCGGAGGGTAGTTTGGCGTATAACCCTTGTTACCTTGATGTTTCCCTTGGAAGTTGTTCTGCCCTTGACCTTGGAAGCCACCACTCAGCTGAAAAACTTTGTTGTAAGGTATGAAAGGCTTTGCTTTCTGAGCAGGGTACACTTGGTCCTTAGGGTTGGCGACGTTGGTACTACGGTAGGAGAGATTGTTGTTCTGGTTGTAGCCGTGAGGTTTGTAATTATTCTGTCCCGCCACCCAATTGGCTTCTTCCTGGCTCAACTCAAGCTCCTCTTGATTCTCATCCGCTTCACCAACAAAGTGAACATGCTTCTGGTTGGCTAACACCAGCTTGTCAATCTTCTCATGCAAGGATTTCAGCTCCTTTTTGTGAGATTCTAGCTCAGATCCTCTCGGTGCACGGTCATAATCCTCAGCATAGTTGCCATCACTTAATGCCAAGTTCTCTATTAGCTCCATGCCCTCTTCTACCTCCTGACCAAGGAAGTTCCCTTTACTAGTTGTGTCAAGCAACAACCTGATCTTTGGTGAGGCGCCGCGGTAGATGGTGCTGAGTAGGGTCTCCTCGCTGAAACCATGATGAGGACATTGGATCGTGTAATCTTTAAAACGTTCCATTGCCTCATTGAATGTCTCATTGTTCCGCTGAGTGAAGCCGCTGATTTCGCTTCTCAACCGTGCTGTTCTGGTGCTAGAGAAGAATTTTGAGAGAAATGCCTTTTTACACTCGGCCCATGAGGTGATGGTGCCTTGTGGAAGGGTCTTCTCCCAATGCCTAGCTTTGTCTCCGAGTGAAAAGGGAAAGAGACGCAGCTTGAAAGCATCTTCTGATATGCCGTTTATCTTGATCATCCCACATACTTGCTCGAAATTGTCAAGGTGCTCCAAGGGATCTTCCATTGCTAAGCCGTGGAACTTGTTGTTTTGCACCATGGAGATGAAACCCGGCTTAATCTCGAAGTTGTTGTTTTGTACAGGAGGAGGAGTGATCCCAAACCTATTGTGATGAGTATTGGGAGCATCTCCGGCTCCTATGATCTTTGGGGGTCTAGCCGCGTGTTGGGGGTTTCCATTGCCCCTTCCCACTGCCCCTTGAGCTGGAGGAGGTCCCTCAGGATGCTCGTGTTCAGCCATAGCTTCAAAGTCAACCAAACCGTGCTGAACAATCCCCTCAAAGGCTCTGGCTTGTTCTCGTACTCTTCTTTGCCGTGAATGACCAAGCTGATGAATCTTGTCCAAGGGTTGAAGTAGATTGTTGTCTCCCCTTGAACGAAGATTCATGTACCTGAGAGACACACATTTGAGAGTAGAATGATTAGTAACTAAAACAAGGTAAAGGCTTAGTCTTTACTAAGCTCCAAATCTCTATGCTTTCTAACACTCCTACAATGGCAACGATGCCATTTGATAACTAACTTTCTTTGCAAGGGTGAGGATGCAATGAGGCTATCAAACTCAAATGCAACACTTAGGTTGTAGTACAGTATGAAAGTGAGAGTCAATCCATTTCTAGGAGCTAGGAAGGTCAAAGAGAATGCAGGAGCTGTGTAAAGCTAAGCGAATAACAGGCGGTTTTGTAAAAATCCTAAAAACTATATGCAGAAACCAAATGAAATGCAAAACTATTTTAAAAATACCAGGAATGGTTAAACTACCACGGCGAACAAACGGAATAATTAAAATGCAAGGCTATGATTTAACAAAAATTGACTAGTGGATCGACCACAGGATCGACCACTAGATCGAGCAGTTTGGATCGATCTCGTCTAAAAATGTTAGCATGAAGAAACTAATGACCAGGATGCAGCAAATATCAAGCGAATGACTAACGAAGATGTAAGAATGCTAAGAGAGAAGGGTCTAGGGTTGAGATTCATGGTCTGGGGTTTCAAAGGTCCAAGTTGGGGTTGAAAACTTTAAATCGACTCACTTTGTGAGATTTCCTAAGCCTTGAAAACGAAAACAAGATCCATCTGTGGCTTTCGGTATGGATCACTCCTTCATCCCCTCCTCCAAACCCATGGCTTCTGGTGGAAAGAGAGGTTGAAGGGCAATGAACTCAGATTTCAAACACACGGCCTAACTAGTCCCCTAAACTTCCATGGCTTTTGGGAAAGGGTAACTAGTCTCTAGGATGTGATTTTCAGAGATCTCTGGATCCTGTCAAGGTAAGAGACCTCTCTGATCATAAAGATCTTGGCGTGAGAGTCTTTAAGCCTTAGGGACTCAACATCCTAGAAGAGAAAGCCATTAAGAACAAGAAAACTACCAACTTGAAAACCCCTTAGACCCTGTGAATCCTCTCAACCCCGAGACCCAAAGGAAACTACTCGTTACACATGAGAATAACCGAAATAAACATGAATGACAAAGCGATGAACATGAAAATGATTACTTAAGGCTTATATGATTCGAAAATATTCAAGAACAAAGCTCAAAGTCTAACAATGGCGGATAATCTCCAAACCAGAGAGAAAAAGCATAAAAAGATAAGATTGAAAAAGTGTGTCTGGAAAAAGACATCGCCGCCTTCCCAAAATGGTGAAAACAGCTCGATGGTCCCCCCCTCGCTAGCGACCAAAAGCGGTTGAAAGGACAGAGATCGACTTCGGGATCGAGCGGCTCTCTCGATCACTTTTGGACATTGTGTCTTCTACTCGATCTGGGTCTCGATCATCTTCGGCGGATCGAGTGTTGCATCCGATCTTGGTATCGATCTTCGGTCGGATCGAGTGGTGGACTCGATCCGGCTCTCGCTCTGCATGGCGTCATTTACGTCTGTACCATTTGATCGATTGCTCCACTCGATCTTTGTCTCGATCATTTCCCTTGGATCGCCTGGGTGTCTCGATCTTCTGGTCGATCTCATCTAGATCAACCTGCCATGCTCGATCTGCTCCCCGATCTCTGGTCCTTAGCAAACATCCGACCTTCCACGAACCGCCACAACAGCTTCAGCACGTCCACGAACCTCCACGACTCCAAAGTAGCCAGAAACAACCTGAATATGATGCAAAATGCAAGGAACATGCGTATGCTGGTGCGAGAATGCTCTAGAACCCTAAGTGATGCAATCTAGTCTAAAGTGTGATGTAAATGCATGAAAAGCTAACTGATATGTATGAAAAATGCATGCAATATGCAGTAACATCATATGTCCGATCCACGAAAAGTCTTTCAGGAATCTGGTGTAGCTCTTCTCTTGTTGGAGTTCTAATATAATCACACACCTGTTGTTCAGTAGCTGTAAGAACTTCAATAAATTTTCTGAGCACAGTCTCTTGATTTCAGCCAAGTCTCAAACCAACATCTCTTTGATCTTCATTGGTTCCCACAATCCTCATGTACTGTTACCCACCTTACATTTGATGGTGTGCCCCCATTGTTGACCATTTGATGCCAAATATTTCCTGAATGTGGACTCCCATATGATGGTCCCGAGCCTAACAGTTTTGGGATATCTTCTTTGTTTCGAGAAACACCAGTCATCGCTTGTAACAGTTGTAGCTTATCCTCGTCACTGCTTCATGCTATATCAATAAAATACTTATGCCAAAATACTAACTCTTTCAGTGTATTAAGGCATACCCAATAAAATTGGTCTTTTGGAATTTTAGATTAAGGAATATGGCTTCCGCTTTTTTCCACTCGTCATAGTCATTTTGGTCAAAAGCACCTAGGCAAAGTTGTTGTAAACTTTGTTGTTGGAACTCTGTATATCCAGCTATAGTGTCTTGTTTGGTTGTTTCAAGCGATTGTCTTCTTCGACCTCCCTGTGAACCACCACCAGTAGAAGGTCGTGACGTTTGACCTAATCTTTCTGAAGTGCTAGCGTTTTTCTGCAAATTTAGCCTTGAGCGTTGCTGGTCTCTCCGAGCGGGATTTCGGACCACTTCTGTGACACAGGGTGTATAATCATCAATTATTACACGATATATGTCTTCCTCTTCTTGCGTCTCATGAACTTGTGTTTCAGGCATGTCACCACTATCAGTGTCAGAGCCATGAAGGTCGTCTTCACACTCATTTATCAACTCTCTTCTTCTTTGGCCTGCAGAATGTTGAGACTGTGATTGGACATCATGTAATACAAAACATTGCACCATCACATCCCAAAAATTTGGGGGTTTTCGGTTGAAAGCCTTTGTTATTTTACATCCCTATAAATTTAGAGCCATCAAATTATTTGGTACTTAAATTTAAATACATAATTTCATGATTATAAAAATTATGAATACTTATCAATTCACGCTTTTTCCACCATGCGTAAGATGCATAGATCATGGATGTCTCAAGACCCACCGAAATACCAGTGAAACCCATAAGAGCTTTCCATCTCTTGTAAATTTTTTTGAATTCTTCAAGCTTGGAAAAATCATATATATTGAACAAAATTATTAAAAACTGTATTTAAAACCATAGTTAAATTATTTTAAATTTTTTATCAAGACAAACAATTAAAATCTGAACTGCTAACTTAAATTATATTAGTTGTGGTCCGTGTTGATGTCTTAGGCCAATGAGAGCGTCCACATATGACATATATACTCAATCTCATTAGTTTATATCAGCGTTTTTTATTAAACATAAAAATAAAAAATATTATTAATAAGTTAAATAAATTAAAATATATAAAAATATAAAATTATCACAATAGAATAGAAAATAAAGATAATTCTTTTAACTAAATAAAATAAATTTATGTCAAAAGTCTAAATCTATTGTGAAAATAAAATGGAAACTCATTGTCACAAAAACAAATATGTAAATCAATAACGAAAAAGTTAAATTAAAAAAAATTAGCATATATATTTTAAATGAGGAATTTATTTAGAAAAAATATTAAGATTAAATTTTCATATAAACATATTAATTGTTATTTAAAAATATCAATGCTACCAAAAAAAACATTCATCTTAAATTATCAAAAAAGAAAGTCATCTAAAACTTATAATTTTTGGGGAAATATTTAAAAAAATAACACAAAAATCTTAACAAACCAAAAATGGTAATTTATGCTAATTTCTGAAGAAAGAAATATAAAAAAATGTTTAACTAACAAAAACCAAAACATAAATTATTTCTTACAACATGTCAATACAATTAAAATGAAAGTACATACCGAGAAAGTTAAATTAACAAAACAGAGGATATTAACTTAATATATATGTTATTTATTTAATAAAATCAATATAAACAGAATAAGTAAGAGAATAAAAAATAATACTAAAAACTTAACTAACAAAAATAATATAAATATTTAAGTTAATTATTTAAGAAATCAATATTAAGAAATTAATTAACTAAAAAACTAAAACAATAATCAAGTTTTACAGAATATTATTTTTTTAAAAACATTTAAAATATATTGACTTGATATCTGACTAACTACTTACAAAATTCATATAAAAATATTTAACTAAGAAAAAATTTATGTCTTCAAAATATCAATATTTTAAAAACAATGGTGTGTGAAAATAAAATAAAAATCAATATCAAGAGAGGTAAATTATCAAAGGAAAAAGTCATATGAAGTAAAATTAGCTTGACATTTAGACTAACTACCAAACAAATATTAACTAAAAAAAGCAAATGATGGTATAAGCTTTTGAGACAAGTTCACTTAAAATTTAGAATAACCAGTATAGCATGTCAAAATAGCATTTTAATTAATTTAAAAAGTAAATTTAACAAAGAAAAAGCATTTATGTAAAAGATATTAGATTAATATATATGCTACCTATTTGAAAAGTCAATAAGAAAAGAGATTAATTAAAAATATATACAGTATTTTTTAAGTATATCAAACCTGCAGAAAATTAGATAATTAAAACAAAATATAAAATTACCATTGAAGATATTTAAAATAACAAAAAACAAGATCTAAGAAGAAAATTAGTTTGAAATATAGTTCCAAAAATATTCATGATTTCTAAAATATTGGTGTTGACTATGAATAACCCTATTAAGTTTTAATAGGTTATACAAGTTTCTAAATCAAACATATTATTTAAAATTACAAAAATTAATACCTTGCTTGCGTCAGGTTGAAATATTAACAAAGTAAAATACTACACAAGTAATTTTACATTCAAAATATAATAAGTAATAAAGTCTGATTTGTATACATATTTACTGCTTATAACTTCGTCAACATGAACAACACATGAGCAACATCCTCTAAAATTTTATTTAAATAATATAATATGACAAAGTTATGAATCAAATTCAAATGGAAATATATGAAGATAAAATATTCAAATCAAAACATGAATAAACACATAAAAGATAAAAAAAAACAGTGATAATGTGAAGTCTCAACATCATCTTACATGTTTAAAAACAAATATTAGCAAATAAAACAGATCTTGTAAACTGAATAGAGATGTAATCTAAAATTCGTAGAAGATCTGGTGGAGAAGCAAAAATCAGCTTTACACGATTAGTATAGCTTACTAACAAAAATAAGTATGAATCAATATATATCATATATTATATATGTATATGTACACAATATTAGTGAGACATTTAGTAAAGAAACTAAATATTTAAACATATAAACCTTTTAAAAAATGAACCATAGAAATCCTAAGGATACAAAACAAAACACCAAAAATTTAGTAAGAAAATCATTTTCTAAATCAAACATTTGTATATCGAAGTTGGATAATTCGTTAGGTGTCATTACTATGAGTTTACTTGATAAGATTTAAAATTTTATAAACAAAAATAGGAAATACTACATATTATGTTTTAATTTATTATATAAAAGAAAATTTCTACAAATATATTATAGTTTTGATAATTTAAAGATATTAGCCAAAAAATTATATCAAATTATTAATACCGACTCGCGTGAGTTAAAAGCCTAGTATAATATATAAAAGTTGATGGAATAGTGCATTGAGGGCGTCCACATGAGATTAAAAAACTCGATCTGATTGGTCCACATCTGCATATTCATTAAATAAAAAAATGGTAAGTATGATTAGGACGGAAAAACTTGATTTAATTGGTCCACATCAGCTTTTAAATCAAATCAAAATTATTAAGTATAATTAAAACATGAAAAGTTAATTTAACAAATTATGTCCAACAAAAAAAAGTAAATTCAATCTGATTGATCCAAATCAACATATTTATTAAATCAGAAAATGTTAATATGGTTTAAAAATTTAAAAGTTAAATAAAAAAATTAAAAATTTACAATACATGTATAAAAAAAAGTAACCATTATCAATTATCAATTTAAAAAAATCTACAACAACTCGATTTAACAATTAAAACAATGAAAACTGAATAAAAATATAACATAAAACTCTTGGAAGACATGATGGAGAAGGAAAAAATGGTTTTGCATGATCATTACAACTTTCTAACAAAATTAAATGCAAATCAACATGAATCATGGATTATATATACAGTGGTACACAACATCAATAAGACTTTCAATAAAAAACTAAATATTTGAACAAATAAACCTTCAAGAAAAAAAGAACTATAGAAATTCTATGGAAAAACAGAAAATAATACAAAAATCTTAGCAAGAATATATTTCTCTAAATCAAATGTATATGTACATCAAAGTTGGATAATTCGATAGGTGTCATTGTTATTATTTTACCTAATAGTTTTTTAAAATTTATAAATAAAAATAGAATAAATGACACATTATATATTAAATTCTCTTATATAAATGAAAATTTCTATAAATATATATAATTTTTAATTATTTTAAAGATAATAGCTAAAAAAATAAACTAAAATATTAATACAGATTTGCGCGTAGCGCGAGTTATATACCTAGTTAACGTAAGAGTTAACAAATAGTTGCCATAAACATATACAATATCTTTGTTTAAGATGAAAACAGAAATTAGGTTCTGAACAATTGAAGGCAAATAGCACCAATTTTTCCTAAGTTAGGTAGACATAATTGAGAACGTACAGAATATATGATGAGTTAACAGTAATTCTTCCTTCAATCCTCAAATCTGTCTGTCCAAATAGCCAAATCTTGATCCTAACTTTCTGCATCACAAGTACAGAAGGCGAGAGTGCGAATCAGAGTACTAGTAACCAAAACCACGTTAATTTTGGTTAATTTTAATTACCGTTATTTTTCAGATTGACGTTATATATAAGTAACGCTAAACAGCGTGTTTTGACTTCTTCTTTTTTTTGTCAACATTTTGATTTAACTGAATAAGGTTCAAAGGAGGCCCAGTGGGCTACAAGACGTGATGGCTGTTCTGGCCAGCCCATCTGCTACAACGTTTTCAGAGCGATTAACGAAACTAAAGAAAATGGAATCGAAGAGAAGGGCAAGGTTCCTGATATCATCGAGGATGCCTGCGATCTCTACCAAATCCGACCCTCTAGGGAGGGTGGTAACGAGGACTTCCAAGTCCGATTTGATGTGCATGTTCTTGATTCCAAGTGAGACAGAGTCCCGAAGGGCACCTAGAACTGCGAGGGCTTCTGCTGTCAGAGCTGAAGCTACGAAGGGTCTGGATGCGGAGTTCTCCTGCAGCTTGATTCCCGTTGGGTCGACAATAATCCAGCCCATACCACCTACCTTTGATACTGGGTTCCATGCTCCATCGGTGTGGCAAGTTGGACCCGGGACAGTGGGGAGACCAACAGTCTTCTTTCGCAAGGTGGTGATCGGGAGTTTTGGGGATGCTTCTTTATTTGCCGCTTGCCAGTTCAGAGCTTCTGATCCTGCTTGTGCCACCAGATCCGGGCCTGCGGAATTTTTTCCTTCGAAGACGAGTTGGTTCCGAGCTTTCCAGAGGTACCATAAGATCCACGGGTAGACTGGAGTTTCTGAGAGTCCTGAGGATTGAAGATTCTTGGCTTTAAGGAGCTTCTGGAGGAGGCTTTTAGGGTCCGAGTCCCCTTGTGTGCTTGTGGGTAACAGGGAGATTGGGGAGATGCTCCAAACCGAGACGGCAAAGGGGCACTCAGTCCAGACATGGAGGATAGTCTCCGGAGTACTACACCGCGCGCACGCCGGATAAGTGTCGATCCCCCGCCCGTTGAGGGTGACTCCCACAGGTAATGCTCCATTACAAGCTCGCCAAAGGAAGTGTTTAATTTTCGGGGGAATGTGAAGATTCCAAATGCATTGGTACCAACTAATGTCTGAATCTCTGAC